TATAATAGCATTCACTGAAACATGGATGAACCTAGACTCACGTGAGTTGCCGGTCGAATACCAAATTGCGGGTTACAAATTGTTCCATACCGATAGGCAGACCAGGAAAGGAGACGGAGTGACAATCTATGTAAGAGATAATCTGAGGTGTGAAGTAAATAAGGAAATACAGAAACAATTTGGATAGAATTAATCGACGGTAGGAAAAAATTAATCACAGAAGTAATATATAGACCTCCCAATCTTGATAGAGTCAATGAGCAACTTATCTGGGATGAAATGCGCAGGGCTTCCATAAACAACAAAGTCTGGATAGTAGGCGACTTTAACCTTGGCCAAATAGATTGGACTGACCTTACAAGTAACTCAGAATGAGAGGAATTTCTCGAGACGATCCAGGACTGTTTCCTAAGTCAACATATAACCGAACCCACACGGGGTAATAATATACTCGATTTAGTTCTGTCGAACAGGGAAAACCTCATTAGCAATGTCGAGGTAGGAAACGAACTTGCAAACAGCGATCACAAAGAAATTTGATTCCAGTTAGATTTTCAGGGCAGACGTAAGGAAAATTCCACTGAAGCACCAGATTTCAGAAGGGCAAACTTTGACAGTTTAAAGAGGCAGCTGAGAGAGGGGGTGTCGCGCTTGGCCGTGAACCTGACAGATGACTCCTTTCCTGATAACGACATCTGAGATTGCCGAGTTCCACGACAATATAAATAATGAGTTACTTAATGCACAAAGGCAGAACATACCATACAAAAAACTGAGATCAGACAACAATAACCCTAAATGGATAAATAATTATTTAATGAACATCATTGGCCAAACGAAGGCTATAGGTAGAAAGATAAAGCGTGGCGAAATTTACCTCGGGGATTATTATAAGATATTGGCGAGTAGGGTTAAAACCGAGATAAGGAAAGCCAAGAGGAATAATGAGGTAAGGATAGCAAGGGAGGCGAAGACAAACCCCAAAGGATTCTACCAAATGTATCAAACTAAAACACGAGAAAAGATTGGACCAATACGGTCAGATACCGGCGAGCTCACTATAACAACTCAGAAATGAGCAATAATTTAAATAAATATTTTTCAACAGTTTTCACCACTGAAAATTTAAACATGATACCCGAGGCACCGACTCTATTCAGAGATAGTGAAGAACACAAATTAAGCGAGATAGTAGTGACTAGTAACGATGTTAGTAAGCAAATAGACAAACTAAAGCCTAATAAGTCACCTGGTCCCGATGAGATATTTGCCAGAGTATTAAAGGAATGTAAGGAAGAGCTTAGTAAGCCCTTAGCAAAGTTGTTTAACATGTCCTTAAAAACAGGTGTAGTACTAGAATCCTGGAGGATAGCGAATGTAATACCGATTTTCAAGAAGGGAGAAAGATCACTATCCTCTAACTACCGCCCAATCAGTCTAACATCAATAGTAGGCAAATTACTGGAGGCAATCATTTCAAACTCTATACGAAATCACCTGGAGAAGCACGGAGTGATCAATGATTCCCAGCATGGCTTCACAAGAGGACGTTCTTGTCTAACTAATCTATTAACATTCATTCAGCAGTTTTCGAATGGGTGGACGAGGGGCACAATTATGATGTGGTATATCTCGACTTTAGCAAAGCCTTCGACAGAGTCCGCCACGAAAGACTAATTAGAAAGGTAGAAGCTCATGGCATCAAAGATAACATCCTTAAATTGATTAGGGCGTGGTTACAGGACAGGAAACAGCGAGTGATCATTAACGGCACTAAGTCCCATTGGAGCAACATCACAAGTGGAATTCCCCAAGGCTCAGTACTTGGACCATTATTATTTATTATATACATAAACGACATAGATATCGGCATAGACAGCAACACAAGTAAATTTGCTGATGACACTAAAATAGGACTTGTTATTAAATCTGACGAGGACTCCTCAAAACTACAGGAAGATCTAAACAAATTTTTCGAATGGTCTGAAAAATGGCAGATGAAATTCAACGTGGACAAATGCAAAGTACTCAGTATAGGACAGGGGTTCTCAACCAGGGGGGAATTCCCCCCAGGGGGGGAATTCAGGTTTTCAGGGGGGGGGGGGAAACTGATTCAGAAGCAAGAGATATGTTCGATGAGAAATCAATCACAGAATTTTGGCCCTTTATGTGCGATTCCTACTCAAAAGTGGCAGAAAGAGCTATCCGTGCATTGCTTCCGTTTGTGTCGACATATCTTTGTGAGTCAGGCTTTTCAACTCTCTTGCAAATTGTAACGAAGCAACGTAGTAGATTAGAGGTAGAAAATGACCTGCGTTGTGCCCTTTCAAGCACTCCTCCGCGTATCCCAGAATTGGCGAAGAAAAAACAGTCACAGGTTTCTCATTGACTGTAATCTTCTTCTGAATAAAATTAATTAAAAATTTACAATGTCCTGGTATTCTATTGAACTTTTTGTTTATTGCATTATGCTTCAGTTTGGTCTGTTAAGTAATTCATTATATATATAAAAAAAACTATTTTACTTTTATTCAAGTATTATAAATCCATCAACATTTTCAATTGGCATTTAATTTGTAAAACTCCACTATAAAAATAATCTATGTAAAATTGTAAATGTATATGAACTAATATGGAAAAAATAAAGGATTTTCAGTATTATATGCATATTATTTGGGATGCACTTTTTGAGGCAGACAATCTTGGAAAGGAGGGGGGAATGACATTCTGACATATGGTGAAAGGGGTGCATGGGGCAAACAAGGTTGAGAACCATTGGTATAGGAGATCTAAACAGGGAAACCAGATACCAGATGAACAAAGATGCCATAGAGAGATCAGACTGCGAGAGAGATTTAGGAGTAATGATAAGTAGGAACCTTAAGCCGAGTAAACAACGTGTTTTTGCTCGTAGCAAGTACTTGGGTTCATGCAAAGGAGTGTTAGTTACAAGACTAGCGAGGTCATTCTAAAACTGTATTGTGCTCTTGTGAGACCACACCTGGATTACGCAGTTCAGTTCTGGTCACCGTATTACAGGATGGATATAGAATCATTGGAAAGAATTCAGAGGAGAATGACAAGACTAATCCCGGGCATTAGGAACCTTGAGTATAGAGACAGGTTAAAGCATCTGAATTTGCACTCCCTCGAGAGACTTAGAGCGAGGGGTGACCTGATAGAGGTGTATAAGTGGAAGTCAGGGCTAAACAAAGGGGACATTACAAAGGTACTCAAACTATCCAACCAGGAGCGAACTCGTAACAATGGTTTTAAATTAGACAAATTTAGATTTGGGCGTGAAATAGGTAAACACTGGTTTGGAAACAGAGTAGTGGATGATTGGAACAAGTTACCAAATATCATCATTAACTCGAATACGCTGAATAGCTTCAAACATAGGTTGGATGCTTATATGAGCAATAGGGGTTGGGTGTAAACGGGACTGCCCAGTATGGGTCAATAGGCCCACTGCAGTTTCCTCCATTCTTATGTTCTTATAATCTTATATATATATATATGTATATTTCATTAGCCCAATAAAGCACGCGGACTTCTACATACAATCAACACCTCAATCCGTGGGTTCGTGGGTTCGAATCCTGGCGGGTTGAGGTGTTGATTGTATATATATATATATATATATATATATATATATATATATATATATATATATATATATATATATATATATATATATATATATATATATATATATATACTACTGTGCCTCACACACACACACACATGCATGTTGGAAGCATGGATTTATTTCAATACTGATCCCATAATTTTTGTCCTAATTACAGGACAAATTTTACCGTACAAAACTGTCGTACCAAATGCCCGTGCACCGAACTGCAAGGCAATATTTGTTCTAAATAAAAAACAACAACATGGGATAAAAAAATAGGGATATTTTGGCACACAATTTAAGTGCACTCACGTCAGCTGTCAGAATTATCAGGATAACAATGCATCTGATCGAGGGAGTCCGATATTCCAGTGAACTATATACGTACAGTCACCCAAAGATCCAGCGACCCCACCCTGAGTCTCTTCTTGGGAATTTTACCTGGCAATACTTGGTAAAGTAAGGCTGTATGTAAAGGTAATTGTGGGATCTATTTTCGGTTGCTCTACTGTCAGGATAAATAGTAAATAATCCAAAGGTAGAATTTTCATAATAATAAACTATTCATTCTTATTTAAGATCATGAGAAATTAACACAAATTCGTATATTTGGTTAAATAATGTAGAAATTATATAAATGAATTGGCAACTAAGCTACAACGAGAACGAGGACTGCCACACGATTCTCAGATCAAATTTTCTTCATTATCTAAACAAATACAAGATTATTTGGAAACTTCTCATGATCTTAAATAACAATGAATTGCTTATTATTATGAAAATTCTACCTTGTGATTGTTTAATATTTATCCTGACGCTAATGCAGCCGAAAATAGATCCACCAATCACAATCACCTTTACATACAGCCTTACTTTACCAAGTATTGCCAGGTAAAATTGCCATTAAGTGACTTAGGGTGGGGTAGCTGGATCCTTGGTTGACTGTACATAGTGAAAAATATGAAATAGAGTGATAGACGCTTATCAAATTTCATGTGAATATATGTTCTATGTATATGTACATATGCTATTATCAATATTTTCCAAACTTAAATTATAACGTAATACTGAGTAATTTAGCATATGAAAATACGACTGCTCACGAGTGGTGTGAGCATGCGCAGTGGCACATGTCCTCGTTTTAGAGTATTTTTAATACAAGTAAATAAATACTGAATATATTTAGCTAAAACATACAAACTGTAAAATATTTTGTTTTAATAATTGCTTATAAATACCTGAAATACTTTTTAGACATAATAATAGTGCTATCTAACTTAAGTAGTTACATACTGATAATTATCGCTAATGTTCTACTGGCAGGATGTTAACGGTAACCGCAATACACTATGACTGGAAGTTACTCATTCCCCCACCGGCTGTTGCCTGAATCACACACACTGAGCAACGTGGTAGTTATTAATATCTTGGATTAGCAGACCTAGTATAATGAGGCTGGTAATTCTATCGGTTTTGTTAATTGTATATCATGGGAGCAACGCTGAAGAACGTAGGCCGCCTTCCCGACAATTGTGTCGTAGAGGACTGGTGTGTGTTTCTGCTGCTTCTTGCAGAGTCAGGGGTAAGTGTTTTTTGTTCTCTATTTATGGTGTTGAAAGGATGGAAGGCATGATGGATAGAGAAGTCACGACAAATAATCGTGGGGGGAAAGGATGGAAAATATATTTAATATGTTAAACAGAGAGGCACGACACCATTTGTTTTATTTATTAGTGTTGGCTAACTAAGCTAACCTAGGATATAGGATGATGCTGCACAATGGCTACTTTGGTTGACAATGACGGTTTGATTTTTTAACGCTTACGTGTTTATTAAAATCTTCTCGCTTGATTTCCTTATGGACTCTAGATTGCGCCTTGTTAAATGTGATCTTGCATCATAGTTTTAATCTAAGGTGGATCGTTGTGACGGACATAGATGGCTAGCTGGTTGGGTTATAGTGGGGGCAGACTCCGGGGCCACCAGGCGTGGGGTCTCCCGCGTATGTAGTCTGGACTGAGGGTTGTCCAGGAGCTTGTCCCAAACCTTTTCGCTTGGCAATGGAACTTGACGTTGGGGGGGCTTCCGTCGTGTTTCTCAGATGGATGGTTTCCACTCACCTAGTACCACATAGAAGGGTACAACCTTTTTCACAAGGTCAGAAGGTAGGAAGGGGGGAGGTGTCGCACTCTTCGTCAGGGATACATTAAAATGTTGTATTAATAATTCAAAGGGTGAAATAGGAACCAAGTCTATATGGGTAGAACTTGCGGAAGGAAGAGAAAAACTAATTATACGAGTGATTTACAGGCCCCCCAAAGCCTTGGGAAAGAGCAGCTCCGCCCATATGGCAGGAAATGAGTAGGGCAGCAAAATACAACTTGTGCATTATGAGGGATTTCAACTTCAGAAATATTGAGGTCTCTTACCGTAGAAATTTGTTTATATGCGTTATCAAGACGCCATAGATCAACTCTACGCTGTTCCCTGCGTTATGATGCCGTGAATAGTTTTACCTGTCCGGTCCACTAACCTCGCTATTGGAAATGTCCACGTGAAACTTGGAATAAATGCCTTATAATTCGGTTAGCATTAGATGAGGGTTTAACGGTCATGGGTAATTTAATTTTGGAATGGGACAATAATTTAGACTTCCAAACTACCATGCGAAAGTGTATTGAAGAGGTCACGTAAATTGTCTGAAAACGTCTGGTCCTGACAAATTAATTTTAATGGCTGGTCATTCACTTTCTTGGTTTGATTGTTGTTATTTGGCAAACATTTGTTTTTTTTTCGTTCTTGGTTCATATCATACCAACAGTAGCTATAATAAGATTTAATCAGTCCACAAGTTGATGCGAGACATTGTTTTCAATTAACTTTTTCTTTCTTTTGTTTCAACAGTGAGACCTAGCCAGTCCTCAATGTGCATCAAACATTACAGAGGCTACGTGTGTTGCCCCAGACATCGCACGAAATCGGGAGATAAAAGGTAAGTTAACAATAAACTGTAGTTTTAAGAAATTTCGGGACGATGTAATCTAAATATCGGTTTAAACTTTAAAACCAGCTGCTAAAAAAAGTCCTGCAGGCTACAGCATTGTCAGGTGCCTCTTAATTGTTTTTAATTTTACTAACACAGCTGGAATTGAGGCATTTGAGCTCGGTGAATACCTGTGGTTATCAAATCTACATTAGACTATTTTGAAGAAAAAAAATTCTCAAGTCGAATATATAACCCTGAAACACTTTGATAGTAGTAGCTAAAATACGCGCTCGTTTTGCAAACCCGTCACGCACCTTCGACGTAAGTGGAACCATCGAAGGGTTTTGGCAGTTGTACGGTACTCTTATGGTCAGGGCTCCCCTAGTGGGACCGCCTTGTCTTGGTGGGGAATTAAAGTCCTGATGTTCTGGTGTACCGTTCGGGTTGGCTATGCTGGAGGGGTCACCGGTGTAGGATGAGCCAAAATGGTGTCCAGATGCACACTCATCAGCGATGCTTGCTGCATACAGGCAGAGCCAGAATGTAGTGACTGCTGAGAAGCTCCCGTTTACAGGCGCTTCTAAGCCCCTTAGGTAATATAAATGTTCCATCTCCTTCAGTGGAATCGCCGTGGGTAATGAGCAAACTGGGAGGAACTCCAACTGCTCTTTCGCCGGTTCCGGCTTGTCCGTGCCTGTCTGCAGGAAACCATGGTTAGCTCGTACTCCCATCCCTCTGGCAGGGGTTCCTCTATTTACTCCTCCCATGATCTACCACAGGGCCAAAGCTCCGCAGCTGTTCTTTTATACATGCTTCTTGGGTTCTCTTTTTAACCTTTCTAACATTACCTCTCCCATGCAGGTAGTTGCTGTTCAGCTCCACCTGCGGCACACGCATGCTTAGCTCCCTCTACTTTCACCTAGTTCACTGGTTGACAGAAGACCTTGTCTTCGATCAGACTAATCCTTCCCCCATTTTTAATACTGGGTGATTTTAATGGTCGGCACACCCTGCGGGGCGAGTCCTCAATTCGAGGAGCCATGATTGCTTCCGTGGTCTATCTCCTGGATATTCGTGTTCTCAATACTGGTGACCACACCAACGGATTTCTCATCCGTATATTCTTAAATTTTTCTTGGGTCGCTGATCGGACTACACTCCGTCGTACTTTACACCAGGGTCCACAACATTTAAGCAGTAATAAACAAGAAATCGGTAATCGGCCGCGTTTTTCTCATTGTAGTTATGTAATATATACATTTAGAAAAATTAAACATGAAATTGGCCCTTAAGAAATATAGAACCAAATCGTATATCGGACAAGTACTGGTATGTAGAGCAAAAAAATAAAAGTAACATAATGGGTGACAATATTAATGGCACAAAAAAAAATCATATTCAACAATACAAAGGAAATGGTTAGACGTTTGAAATTCGAGAATAAATATCCTTTGCAATTGTTTCAAAATAGTGAAAGCTACTTCACAATTCCTTTGAGTGTCGATGAGCTAAGTGGTGCAACATATGTTCGTTACACAAGTCTGCTGGCAAGACCAGCAACGACTTTACGGTTTTGTGTGATTTCAGGAACCACATCCGTGCAACAGCAAGATTTCAATCAAAACGTGGCTGCAATGACAGACCTCTTTTGCTTTAAAAAGAAAAGGATTTCAAACATGTTAGAGCAGAATTAAGTTACACTGAATCTCTTAAACTTCTGTGAATTCCTATTATAGTATTTTCGTGTGTGTGATGTCAGCTGCTGCAAGGTATAATATTTCCGTCTAAAAGAATAACCGATTGTTTGCTGCAGCAAGTGTCTAAATAGCTTTATCCGGCCGGCCGTTCATTACACATGTTTGACTGCCGTTATGCTGGCCGCAAATATAAACTTTGTTCTTATGCGATCGGTAATGTGAGGGTTGTGGACCCCTGGTTTATACCGTGCGTTGGTTTTGCCTAAACTTGATCAAGGCCGTGAGCTGTATTCCTCCGCGACGCCATCTAGTTTGCCCACCACACTGGCATTTGCCTGCCCCCGGTGATTTTAGATCTTCCACCATCCCTAGTCTTTGTGATGCGGGTGAGCCAACTCGTTACCACCAACGACAACTGGCAATACACTCTTTCCCGACTTGACCTCCACCCTGAGTCTGTAGATACCTTCTATACCTCGCCCTTTAGGAATTCGTGTGGGGCATCTTGTCGACGAGCTCGGTGTATCCGGTCTATCCGGCAGCTGCCCGGGGTGGAATTTTGCCGTTATTTTTCGGGAGTCAAGGATGCTTATCACCCTGGCCACATTCGATTCCTCTTTGAAGCACACTGCTGAGCACGGTAACTAAATTTTTACGGTTGAGCTATGTGGGAATTTAGCTGCATTGTAGTGTATTTTTAGGTATAATGATCGTTTTAAGCATTTTACTGATTTTAGTGATTCGCGTAGTGCCCTACGGGCATTGGAGGGGTAGGTACATCTCTCGGTGCCGTGGGGGGAGATGGTTATTACTGTGATGCTCGGGGAGGAGTCCTCCTTACTAGGGGGTGAAACTGTTTTTAGAGGCATATCTTTATCCTGTGGTTAAAACTTTTGCGTCATTTTCTTTCCGGTTTTATTTTCCGTAAATAAAATTTTACTAAAACCTTTTACCATTAAATATCTCCGCCACCATATGACATTAACTATTGCAGCGCTAAGATGCTCATCATTCATTTAATCCATCTCCAATTTGAAGATAATATATTTTGTTACCCTTGGACACGTACGGTTTCTTTGTGCTAAGAATTCCTTTCAGTGCACAAGGTTATTTGCCAGTTTTTAAATTATTTGTTTTTAGATTTTTATCATATGGAATTTCCTCTGCCGTCGAGCAACAGTTAATGTCGATCCTTGATAGAATTGCTGAAAAGTATGAGTTGGATATGAATAGTAAAAATGGCAGTAACCCTCATGTGGTTTTTAAATTCATATTTGTATTCAAACCATTATAAATGGAGACACTATTAGGATTAAACTTTTTCAGACCGGAGACCTCTCAGCAGTACATGGACTATTACGATGATCGATACGAGACTTTTCACGGAATAAAGTTATCCACGCAGGCCAAAGAGATACTGAGAGATTATAGATACAGAGATGTAAGTACCTGATTTTAATATTTTTATTATATATACTGAGGTTTTGGTGAACTTGGTCAGACACATTGAAAATTTAGCTTGCCTGCGTATTATAATTCGACACTAAGACTAACCAATGGGGAAAATGCGACCTCTTGGTTAACTGCATTAGGGTGCATATATTTTGTATTGTAGAAATTAGAGAAAGCTAAATATTTTTTGACAAATGAGGCGTATTGAAGCATTAGTTTCGCCATACCACACAAGTGGTAGACTTTTTAATGTAAGAAATGAGTTGGTATTCTCATCTTGGAGTTGCATTAAACGTATTCTCCCTTGAAAAGGAATGTGGTGTACGGAATCATGCTCCAGCAGACATGGCACGTGTATCATCTGGATATATCCACGACAAAGGCATCACCAGCTTCGGCGAGTTCCCATGGCATGTGAGTACGAGTACAGGTTTTCAAAATTTCAACCAATTGATTAGTCACTTTGTAAGATTCCTTTGGAACTTGATATTTTCTTACATTTTTTATATATTATATAATTTTAAGCTAAAATTTATCTTAATTTGGTCCATGCTACCAGTGCCTCGCTTTCGTAAAAGTGAAAGTACTTTCTGTTCATTAACAGGCTAGATAGAGGATAAAACCTGATACTTTCTAGTTAAGTGAATGTTTACCGACTCTACTAAAAATTTTATTTTCTCTTCAGCAACTTGAAATCGCTATTTGAAATGTATACTAACAAAAATGGGTGGCTTCCTATATTCCATTACCATTTATCATCACGACAAAATACCCTGAGTCGCTTGGCCCTTGTAGTAGTTTCTAAGAATTATGACAGAACTTCTCTGAATTTTGTCCATACATTTCCCTGAATTTTATCTTTCAGTGACTTGTGCATACAGACGTTAGGGAAGTTCTCCACTTCATAAATAATCACTGGTATCTATGTAAATCCCAATTTAATAATGGTATTTCCTTCTAGGTCGCATTGCTGGTAAGAGAGAGGAATTTTAAAGTTAATAACGCATACAATCAAAGACCTTCCTACAGGTATCATTGTGGAGCAAGTCTTATTCATCCACAATTTCTTCTTACTGCAGCTCACTGTGTTAAAGGTATGTCGTAAAGTTGTCTCGGGAGAACCATTAATCAAGGCTAGGAAGCAAGAAACTTGTACCCACATAAGTGTGTGGTATTTTTACGTGGAACAAAGGATATAATACGCAAATTATTGGGCACCATAGTCTGAGCTAATGTATGCAATATAAAATTTAATAGTGCTGTATTTGCTTAAGTTAAATGCTGGAAGGACAAAAAAGAGCAAAGACGCACTTTCCTCAATTCCATAAAATAACTAAAATCAGATGCAGCTTTGGTGATCAGGAATGAGCTCTGCTGTGGCGGAGAGCAAGTTAAGCAGATAACGGCAGCCTTGTACAGTATCTTATTCTCGGCGGAAGAGTAACCACGGGCGCTCACAAGGTTGACTGTCTGGTACCAATCGTAGAAAGTATATATTTTGCGGCTTTATCATGCAGTTAGGGCAGAACACGCAGTCGTTGTGTGTATCATTCATGAAAGACGAAACCATCCAAGTAAACTTTACTGACTTAAGAAAAAAGAATTAGGTTTGATTTCGCTCCATGATTGCACTCTGTAAAATGGGCTGGGAATATTGGGTATCCAGCCCTAAAACTGGCTTCTAATTTGCCCGATGGCAGAATCATTTGCTAACCTACGAAACGTGGAAATTGGCCTCGTAATATGGTTGACGATGATTAGTAGCACCCAACTCAAGTTATTTACAAAGATGACACACCCCTAATTACTTCTCATTTCGTAATTCTCTCCAGCATTATTCCGATTTAGCAATCCATTTTCTTGTAAAGCAATATTTGATTTTTAGAAATTGTTCGTTCTGACCAGTTTTAAGTCATATTAAAGGGTTGTGTAACTGCATATATATAAAAGTATGGCTGCTAAAACAACGAAATTTTCTTATTTAAGAGATGATATATTTCTAAGTTTTCAGTTACAGAAAAAAGTGGTAAATTTTGTGCGAAAAGGCCTGACACCACAATGGCTAATACAAAATGCCTTATATCGTTTGCTAGTGACATTAATAAAATTTAATCCATACATGTACAGCCTCCCACACTACTGCCTGCTGCAGGCAGCGTTGTCAATCCTCGTCTCGGTTATGAACCACTAGACTATGAACCCGCGTCCGAAGCATTCACTCTTGACATCGTGGGGAACCTGGGGCCAGTGTGTGAGGGTGACGGTTAGTGGAAGGGGAGGGTGAAGATGGTAGGAGTGGAGGTGAGCTAGAGGAATTATGTGGCTAGCAAGAGTTGATTTTTTTTACTGTTTAGAAGCATGCAAGTTAACCTGTCGAGTAATACCACATTTCACTAGTACTGACTGAGCTACCACACAAACCATATTCACCACACTAATCATAATTTCCAACAATATTCACATTTTCTGTTAACTCGTGTTATGATGTTGCATTCTCCTGACATAATTGCAGGGGAGAATGGAAAGTAATCCACCGCCCTGGGCACTACTATGAAAGGGAGAACGCTACCTCTACCACCTATGACGTGGCAGACAAGGGGCTAAGTGGAGGGCACAGTCCCTCCCGTCCTGGGTCTTAAATCTTAGAGGGAGTTTTATTTACCTTAATGACCTTGTGCAGTCGATAGGCATTAACCTGTATTTTAATGAAGCTTGGCAGATCCTAGTTACAGGGAACTACTGATATCTGTAATGAATATCCAGGACATTGGTGTATAACAGATCGTTACGAGGTGTGGTCGTCATATATTTAAACAACATTGGCACGAGTCTACAGTGGTGTATAGGTGAGCAAGTAGCCGGCCTTGGTTGGACTCTGATTTTACTTCGTCTCCATCATTCTTATAGGTACTGCAAGATGTAAATAAATAGAGAATATAAGTTGCCTTATATGAAAAAATTGCAATATTCTTAATTCATTCGAACAGGCTGGGGGCAGCCTATGCAAGCAGTGGCTTGTATAGTTAGGAAGGCATACATTAATTACCCTATGGTTTGGCTAGCATAATTATTTTTCTTCTTAAACGACTTTCAAGTGGTAGCACTAAATTTGAGATTTGGTGAGGAAGCTAGTAAATATTCATATTAGAATAACTTCAGTGAAACTTGTCTGTATAGTTATTTAGAGGAAGCCTCAGAGCAACGTCTTGAGCAACTATACTAGGTAGGGAGGATTCCACTTGGATCTAAGCACGCTGCTCTCCCTGGTATGGTTAACCACTGACAGGCATAGATGTTGCTTTAATTTGCCCATATCCTATACCTAAATACAGGTGTTTAACACCAACCTATTTTACAATCCATCGTATTGACTGGCCATAAAAACTTTCCAGTGCGTTATTTTGTATTTACTTCCGGTTTTCCTTTATGGCCATATTTTCTCTAATCCTTATGCGATGCCTAGTATATATATTACATACACACCCGCGTGTAGGCTCCTCGGGCTGGTGAGTTCCTCGCGTGTCTCCGGGGGACGGAAAGATCTAGAGCAGTGGCTCTCAACCTTGTTTGCCCCATGCACTCCTTTCACCATGTCAGAATGTCACTTCCCCCTCCTTTCCAAGATTGTCTGCCTCAAAAAGTGCATTCCAAATAATTGCATATAATACTGAAAATCCTTTATATTTTCCATATTAGTACATATACATTTACAATTTTACATGGATTATTTTTATAGTGGAGTTTTACAAATTAAATGCCAGTTGAAAATGTTGATGGATTTATAAAACTTGAATAAAAGTAAGTTTTTTTTTTATTTATAATGAATTACTTAACAGACCAAGCTGAAGCATAATGCAATAAACAAAAAGTTCAATAGAATACCAGGATATTGTAAATTTGTAATTAATTTTATTCAGATGAAGATTACAGTCAATGAGAAACCTGTGATTGTTTGATCTTCGGCAATTCTGGGATACGCGGAGGAGTGCTTGGAAGGGCACAACGCAGGTCATTTTCTACCTCTAATCTACTACGTTGCTTCGTTTTAATTTGCAAGAGAGTTGAAAAGCCTGACTCGCAAAGATATGTCGACACAAACGGAAGCAATGCACGGATAGCTCTTTCTGCCACTTTTGAGTAGGAATCGCACATCAAGGGCCAAAATTCTGTGATTGATTTCTCATCGAACATATCTCTTGCTCCCGAATCAGTTCCCCCCCCCCCCTGTAAACCTGAATTCCCCCCCTGGGGGGAATACCCCCTGGTTGAGAACCCTTGATCTAGAGGAACAGAGCACGGCTGATGGCCGTGAGTGTGTGGGGGGGAAGGGGGAAGTGTATTATCATGTTGGCTTATGTCTCGCAACATTGGTCAGTAATATATGCATATATAATTAATCACACCAGTAACAGGCGCAAACTTTCTAACTCCTGATATCACATTCTCTCTATTACGTATTAATAGGTTGTCTATATTTTACCTTCTTAGATCAAAGTGCCTCAGATCACAATGACAATCAAGCACCGTGACGAACAAACTCGTTTATCATAGAGCACCCCCAACTATTTGGAACTCATATCCTTGGGATGTGCTTCACTTCGCAGTGAAACAATGGATCGATGTGCATTCGCCTCGTAAACAAGCGAAGTTGGAGGTTAGCAAGCATAAACCATTAAGGACAATGAACGAGCCAACCAAACTTAACTTACCTGCTTTAACCTTCGCAATATTGAGCAGCGCAAATAAGTTTTAATTTTAACCTCTCAAATGCTAGACGTAGAATATTTTTCATTTGGTCAAGAGTTGGGATGGGCTAATTTGTTTTGTTAGCAGCATAGTTTCAGTTCGTAGGAATCCTTCCCCACTTTGTTTTGTCTTGTGACCAGTAAACGAACTGTGCCTATTTTTTGGAGGCGTGTGGGAAAAGCTCAAAGTTATCACATCATTTACTTAAAAGGTGTTGTGTGCTAATGGTTTTGTGAAATTTGATCTTGCAGGATTTATTTACCGCCTTTTTAATATATAAAGTAGATAGTTTTGTTAGTACTTATATTGGAGCTTGAACCGTTGTATCCCTTTAAATCTAGAGAGATGTTAATGACACCCATTCAACACATGATCGTTTGCTACTAAGGGTGCCCATCACTCCCTGACCCTGTGGATACGGCACAAGTGTCTTGAGGTTTTGGTACTCGAGGAGAGTTCAGTTACCGGCACTGCTCTCTACCTACATTATTTCCTCAACTATTAAGTCTCCATTCCTGGTTGCTGGCACATTTAGGCAAAGTTTGTACGTTACATTTTCAACGAAGAAAATCGGTGCCAAGAAATACATTAAAACCATACTGCAAGCCACTGGGATGGATTAGCCTACCCCTGTTCATACTCCTTTCTACTTGCAGACAGTGTACAGTAGTCTTGAAATAACAATTGCAGGTATGATGAAAACATTTTTTCAACCTTGACTTTTCTAGCTTTTCGGTCTTGCAGGGCTTGAATGGTATGATAATATCCTGGAGTTTAAGGCTCGACCATTTTGTAATTGATGGATCCAGGTGTGGTAGGAAAGAGAACTAAGACTATAGTACCGCCAAAGTGACCGGGAAGATGGCGGCTGATATAGGACAGTTTTATATAGAAGGTTATCTGGTTAAGATTGTAGATGAAAAGTGGAGGGCATATAGTCTAATTTGGATGGATAAAATTTGTTTATGTAGATATACTGTATTTTAAAGAAATTGTAGGGGTCAAGGGCTTC